GATTAATTGATTATTTTTTAATACTCATTTAATAATGACCGTTTGACCAATTTACCCTTTGAACAATTGTTCATACACATGTTAATTAATACATTAATTAAATTATTGTTTATTTAATCTCATTTAATAATAACCGTTTGATGATAAAATGAACGATCAAGATCGGTTTACATAGTTTGTACCATATGGTTGTTTCTATTTGAACCAGCCCCTTTATATATATATATATATATAGAGAGAGAGAGAGAGAGAGAGAGAGAGAGAGGAGCGATCAAATGAAARYCACTCCAATTTGTAAAAACCGTAAAAACTACTCTCATCCGTCGTTAATCTTATGAAATTTTTTCATGAAATTGTTAATCTTGTGAAATTGTTTCATATAATACTTTTTTTTGATGAAGTTGTTTCATATATGGTTATGAAATTGTTTCATATACTACTTAATGAAATTTTAATGAAGCTGTTTCATGTATTTCTCTAAAATTAAAATAATGAAGATGATAATATCCAAGATTAACATCCTTCACAATAAAAATGATTAATCAACATCTTATAATTACAAAAAAAATGAACAAAATGAAAAATTATGATCGGTGAAATGAGGTTTTTACGGTTTTTACAAATTGAGTGGTTTTCATTTGATCGCTCCTCCCTCTCTCTCTCTCTCTCTATATATATATATATATATATATATATATAAATTAATAAATTAACTTATATTGAGTGGTCTCAAACTTTTTTTAATTAATAAATTAACTTATATTAAATATAAATAAATCAATAAAGGCAGTAATGTAATTAGGTATTTTTTATAATTTTTATTTTATCTTGATGGGAAAATTGCATTAAAATGTAACAAACTTTCACCTGATTTTTATTTTGGGGAATCAACTTTCAAAATCGTCATTTAAATGTCTCTATCAAACTTTTTGTTTATTTAAGGGTCTGTTTAATATGTTGACCTGTTAATGTTGACATCATCCAGATATTTTGTCAACTAAGATATTTTACGACATTATTATGATTATAAATATACATTATGTTGGCATACCATATTAATTTTTTATTTTAAAACTAATATTTCACGTCATATTTTAAAATTACAAAATAATTATAAAAAATTAACTAAAATTCATTTTTTTTTCCAAAAATTAATTATAAAAAAATTAATGCAAAAAGCATCTTAACATTGAGCAAATATCAATAAACATTGCACAAAACCACCTATGTATCTATCTTCCCTCAAACTCCAACCCAACCATCATGGAAAATGTTTCATTTTTTGACTTCTTTTTCGAATTTTGTTCAACCCTGCAATTCATGATCATCATATAATGAAAGGCGTTCCGTAGAAGCATGGATGGACTATCAAGACACAAGATGAGGAAAATAGAAAGAAAAACCGCTTGGAAACATCTCAAGATCTCAACCCCTCATCATAAAATGGTGCCTCATCAAAAATCA